AGACACTGGTTTTATAGGTCTTCGGTGCAAAGAATTTAGAGGTTTTAGGATATTACGGCGATGAAAATGTCTCTGGTCTGTAACATCGTGTGAAATTGTATATAGGTACCAACATTTAGGAGAAACGTACTGAATTAATCTTCGGGGTTTAAGATCTGTCTATAGGTCCACGAGGCGTTACAGCCCAGAACCCCAAAATCGAATATATATATATATATATATATATATATATATATATATATATATACATATTCAGATTGTAGGCTCATTCTTAAACGTTTGTAAAAAATGTATGTTGCAGTCCAGCTCAGGTGGTGAAGGTACTCTACGCCGTAGCCATCTTGTTTTCCTACGGACTCCAGTTTTACATACCCACATCCATTGCATGGCCAGACATTGAGCAAAGGATTCCCAAAGGATACGAAAATATTGCACAGACTGCTTTTCGTATTGGTACTATAATATGTACGGGTAAGAACCATATAAATATTGATTACAGCATTCTTAGTACTCGTTTCAGTACTTGTTCTGAGTTTCACGTTCGCACATTGTAGTGAAAGAGAGAGAACATTTGGTCTTTCTGGAATTTTGAGGGTTTAGCCCACAAGACATTGCGTGGACCTAGCGAAAATACTGATTTAGAGTGAAGAATGATAAAGAACTTTGAATCATAATAAACTACATTTTCCTTTAAAAACCTGATATTAACTTAACTGATCAAGAATTTAATTTATTTTGTAGAACCTGAAAATCCAACACCATTTACCGAAGCTCAGATTTAGGCCCTTTACCGAGGCAAATGAATTCTGTCCACAATTTCACATCCTGCTTTAAAGATATATTTTATCTCTGTATTTTTCTCTCATCTATGACTATTTATCCTAGGTAGTATCCTGTATTTTAAGACCAAAATCTTGAAAGCATTTTTCTATGCTCACTGATTTCATCACGGTAGGTGAGGAGTGTAAATTATAAAGTCTCTCGTTCAATTTTCTCAACTAATCTGTAAATCCCTCTCTTAAGTACGAAAACTGTACCCACCATATTAATGTATATACTTAATTATTTTTAACTTTAAAATTACGATAACATGTGTTTAGACCACCCATGATGAATTTGTTGAGTGTGTTGACACCAAGTCTTGCTTGATTTCAGTTGCTATCGCAGTTGCAGTACCAAACTTGGGGCCCATCATCTCTTTGGTCGGGGCAATTTGTTTTTCTACCCTGGGACTCTTCTGTCCTGCAGTCATAGAAACGGTAACCTACTGGGAGACGGGGCTGGGCTGGCGTCTTTGGAAAAACCTTATTATCATAGTGTTCGCAATGTTGGCCCTAATTACTGGTAGTTATGCAAGCATCCTGGAAATAATACACGAGTATTCTAAGAGCGAATGATATCGCTATTATTTTAGCTGATTTCTGCTAAAGTTTAAAACTTGTAGCTGAGTATGATTGGCTATAATTTGTAATAGTCGAATGCCATGTTAATGAAAGGAATTCCAATATGTCGTATTTTATTATGTCAGGGTTTCATCAAAAACATTCCGGTTTGGGATGGTTTAGTAATCGCTGAAGCTGTGATTCTGGTGCATAATTAGTTCGAAAAGACAAATTATAAAAGCCTATTTTATATTATATGAATTACGCACCAATTAATACACTATGAGTCGGCCTGCTTTTCCTAATTTTCATATGGACTTCAGATAATTGTTTTCACTTCTAAAATATATACCTAATTTAATTTTATACTGGAACAAATGACAGCATTAATTCCTTCGATATTATAAACCGAAATCAATTTACTGTATAATTTTTCTCGAAGTACATTTTTAGGGTAAGCCTTATATTAACAGGAAAAAATAATATTTAAAATATTTAAAGTCGTACTATCTACAATCCGGACAGAATCTTTCAGATTTAATACATGTGTGTAAACGATTTGGAGTCAGATGACGAAGTACTTAGCGCCCAAGATTTTACCATATACAGATTGTATTGTAACAATTTCAACGCAGCTAACGAAACACGTCACTCTAAATTCGATATTAACTTCCCTGGTTTCCTTACTATGTAGCATGTAGGTTTATCTAGTCATTTTGAAGTTATCTGAATAGGTGTAGGTAAGTACGTTTATATTATCACAAATTTGGCTTAAGAAAATTCCATAATACTAATTATTCCCATAAAATGAGCGTCCATGAATAGTGTAACTTTATATTTTATCATTATTATACACTTTGGATTTGTTTATGTAATAAGTCAAACACTGTTAGAAATTTGTGTTTAGTGTAAAAGTGGAATACTTTTAAGCACATTACATAACCTTAACTTTTGAAACCTTATACTATTTCTGTAAATATAAGTACGAGATCTTCCCTACAGATGGCTTCCAAAAAATTAACTGCCCTTTATATTTAAGCAAGTTTTCAGTGAAAACGTCTAGCGAAGTACTTAAAAGAACTGATCGTTGTGACTGTAATGAACAGTGGAATTAAATTCCATTAATATTTCCAAGTAATCCGAAGAAAAGGACAGCTGTCTTCTAGGATTTTGCGCAGTGTATTTGGTACAAATTGATCGAAGTCTCAGAAGTAATTACTGCCTTCACAATCAGGACGATGATTATGGAGAAAATTAAAACGGGTTTACAGTAAAAATTTGCCTTAATTTTAGTTCCATTACACGCATGCATATGAAATAAGGCCTACTATTTATGGAAGTTGGCTGAAGTTTCCAATTAATTTTAAATATTAGGCCTCATATCACTGCAAATTTTATTTTTTTATAATATTTTACTAAATAATCCTAGTGTCTTAATTTTGGAGGCACCACAATTATATTTATTTTGCTTACATTTTATTTATACATATATATTAGTTGCTCTAAGACATATCGATTGTATATATGTTGTTATAGTACTTGTATTAAACATGTAAAATAGTTGATAATTTTATACGGGATTTTTCAATACATATTATTAAAATATACATTTAGACTTTGTTAAGTATTTAATTAAATGTTACGATCTAGAGATCAACACGTGTATATATATATATATATATATATTATGCATGAAATAAAATAAGAAAGAAGCAAGCGTTTCGTAAAATTTAAAAATGTGTACCACGTGTGTGTTACAATTGACTGTTATTCACGCAAAATTATAAATATCTGTTAAATTATTTAAATGATTTATAGATAATAATTTTGGAAAGTTATAGTTTACAATAAATATTCCAATAATTACGCAAATATTTACTTTTTACTTTCTTATTACCTCTAAAATACAGATATAGGAAGAAAGTTAAAATCAATATCGACCTTGTTAAAAAGTCTGTAAACAACTCCGGACGTTTTAAAAAATATTGACGACATAATCTGAGGGCAAACACAGCTGACAGCGTTTGTGTGTCCGAGGAGATTTAATATGAAATCATTCACAACAAGTGGCTCTTGAAATTTCAGTGTTTTGACTGCACAATGCTGCTCTCTTGAAGACATTCCGACAAACAAATTAAGTTAGCAATAGCACTGACAATGCGTCGTTTCTGAGACTGAGAATTCCAGAAGTTTCCTGAAATGCGATGAAGTACAACGAAGTCACATGAACACATTACTGAGTGTCAATCTGCTGTTTACGTCTCTGGATACACCAAGACCAACATTTTCATTTGTTTTATTAGGTTCAGGCCCTGAGTTTAATCTCCCAGGAAATCTGTCACTTTTCCTCTTTTTTATGCTAATTTGTTCATTACGGATTATGTCACTTATAGCTGTCATTGACAATGCGTCATTTTTAACTTCAGGTTCGTGCACGTAAGTCTTATTGTCATAAGCGAACACAACCTCATTTTTATCTCCCATGTGCGTTATTTTGGTGTCACTGTTTCTTTTGAATACATAAAAATAAACGGAAACACATAACAGCAGAACTCCAGCTGCAATAAGGAGCCACTTGAGGACTGCGAAGATGCGAATTACTGTGTAGAGTCTCTGAACTTTTGCTAAATTCCTGTCATCGAGTTCAGCTCCCTGAATGGGAAACAAAGTTAGGTTAGTGTTTATTATATTTCACGTATAAGGTTCAGGTCTAAAAATATTATTACGTAAATAGGAGTACGATATTTGTTAGTGATCAGAATAGTATTTGGTTGACAGGTTAGAAATGTATTCCACGGAATTTTGAATGATATGCGGGTACATGTGTATTTTGAGGTAAGATGATAAAATGTCTCTCATTTCTCCACCACAGTTTTCTCTTTGCTTTTACTCTCTTGCTATCCTTCATGCCTTTCTCTG